GACTGGGACAGGACTGGTATAGTCTCCCAGGTAAGAGAGGCTAAAGAAGGACATGGTGGAAACTTTAGGGTCTGCAGCCAGGGGACTGACTTAGGGGACACCATGTCAGTAAGTGGGAGGTGGCCTATTCCCAAGGAGCATTGTGTGACTCAAAAGATGGCCCATCAATACCCCCATCTATTAAAGCCAGAAGGGCAAGAAGCTATCAGGTGGATGGGATCATGAAAAGCCACAGGATTACCAGCCAAAAGAACCCGACTCTTGTCTCCTGCCATAAAGTTGCACAATCCACTCCCTTCCTCTTAACACACTCAGACAATATCCTGTAAAATGCAGGGAGAAGTGAAAAAGAATCTGAGAGAGGGAATATCACCTACAGAGACTATTTAAATGGACAAAAAAAAAAACCCAAAACAAAAAAAAACCAGAATATGTTTCACTAGTGTCTGGATACTCAAAAAGAAGAAAAGAAAGATAATATAGAAAATAAAGAAGTCATGAAATATTACATAGAAATTAGAAAAGATGTTTATGAAGGCCATATGGCAACATGAAGAAAGTCTTTTATGACAGCTATAAATGCAAAGAGAAGTTATTCCAACTTGCAAACAGAGGATGTCCTCAATCATGATTAAAAAGACAATAACTGGAAAAAAAGCTGGAGGAAATATATAAAAATTTCCAGCAGCTATTTAGGGTTTGGGAATTGTGCACATTAGTTAAGATTCTTTGGGCTACAGGCAGCGGAAACCTTGTTTTTTAGTGTAAATAAAACGGGAAATATTTGAGAAGGAATCTCTGAGTTTGGAAGGAAATTGGGAACCCAAAGAGAGCCAGCCCAATTGTGGAATCCCCGCCTATAAATCTGTCAGGTTACACCCAAATATGCTTTCCCTACGTCTCCTCTCAATTTCACTCTACGTGTTTTGTTTCTTTTTCTAGACTTGCTTTCTCTGCTAGTCCAAAACTCCCATCAGAGCCCTTTTGATCTATACCACTGCAATAGTGACCACAAGGACACCTCAAATCTTACTTTAAATCCCTGAGGTACAGAATTGTTTGACTTAACTCAGATTGTGTTCATCCTCTGTCCAGGCAATAATGCTGGAATAGCAGGGAAATGTGGTACAAAGTACTATGGCTACTGGGATGCATAAAGCTGTGGTTAAAAGAAGTCATTGCAGAAAGAGGGTGTGGTAAGCCAATAAACATCTCCCCCACCCCAAAAGTTATATACTATTCTATAAAGCATCTTTTATCCTGCTTTCTGTGTCTATGTATGGCGTGGTGACTAAGAACATGGGATTAAGAGCTAGATTTTCAGGTTTGATTCCTAAATTGTTTAATTATTGGATGTGTAAACTTGGGGCAAAAAGCATAATCCCTTTCATGCCCTCATTTCCTTATTTGTAGATAATAATAGTACCTAATTCATAGGGTTGTTTTAAGGACTAAGATATTCAAGATATGAAAAGCAATTTACAACAGTGTCTGACATTGCCTGTGGGCAATATAGGAAGTCTGACAATTAAGTTCACAAACTCATCCTAGAAAAAGTGCTACATACCTCACTGCTGAATATCACTATAATCACCTTCAAAGTACTCCCCTTGGGAAGCTATGCAAAATGCCAGCACCTAGTCCACCCTTCAAAGCAATTTTGGAACTCTCTTTCTGGAATGACCATCAGAGCTGTCGTCGTATTACCCTTGATGTCCTGAATGTCATCCAAATGTCTTCCTTTCAATATTTCCTTTATCTTCGGGTAAAGAAAGAAGTCACTGGGGGCCAGATCAGGTGAGGAGGGAGGGTGTTCCATTACAATTATTTGTCTATTGGCTAAAAACTCCCTCACAGACAGTGCCATGTGAGCTGGTGCATTGTCGTGATGCAAGAGCCACGAATTGTTGGTGAAAAGTTCAGGTCATCTAACTTTTTCATGCAGTCTTTTCGGCACTTCCAAATAGTAAACTTGGCTAACTGTTTGTCCAGTTGGTACAAATTCATAATGAATAATCCCTCTGATATCAAAAAAGGTTAGCAACATCATTGCAACAAGCTCACGAACTTAATTGTCGACCTGATATGTGCATGCCTGACACTATGCAGAAATAAATGTTTGCCGCCTGTTTATTTTTTTCAACATCTTTTCTAACTCCAAAAAGTCTTTGAAGTAACTTAAAGTGTAGATGTAAGAAAAAACGATGTTTTCAGTATATTCTTTTTCAATTGTCTGTACGTTTATTGGCAAAACAGAAGAAAGGCTGCGAAGCTTTGATTTTCCTCTGGAATTGGGACAGCCCCAGGTCCAAGATGAAGGACAAGGGCCCAAGACCCATTAACCTTGCTCAGAGCCTTGGGTTAAGATATTAATAGTAGAGATTTGGGGGAAAGCTCATTAAAAGGAAGGAAAAATTTCCATGATTTATATATATAATATTATATAATATATAATGTATTATATTTATGTATATAATATTTTTATATATAATATATAATATTTTCCTGAAGGATAGCCTGACTATTTTACTTAAGAGCAAATGTTACCTTAAAAATTTTATAAAATCTCTATCGTATTTAATTCTTGTCTTACTGAATACAGAGTCAAAAAATTTTTTTATAAAATTGTTTTCATTCATTATAAAGTAATGCAGAATTATTGTCTATATTGGAAATTTTAAAAAGTATAAAACTAAATTTACCCATAATTTTACTATCCTAGTGAAGAATTATTAACATCTTTATATATCATATATAATTTCAATCATATTGAGTCTACAATTCTGTTTACTACTTTCTTCTTTTACTATTATATCACAGCAAGTTTCATTACCATTAAGAAATATTTTTAAACCTAACTTTAAGATCTGTATAATATCTATCTTATGATATAAATATGCCATGATTTATTTAACCATTCCTGTAGTTTGAAAATTTAGGGTGCTTCCAACATTTTGCTATTATTAAAAAACAAATGCATGAGGGGTAGTTTTGTACATTAGTTTTGTTAGTTTTGTGGTTATAATTATTTTAGGATAGATTTCTGGAAGTGGAATTGCTGGGTTAAAGGGTAAGAGTAATTCTGAGATTCTTGACACATGCTGCTCAATTTCTTTCTAGAAAAAATGTAATTATTCTTATACTTATAAAAAGCTCATGGGAATCTACATTATAGTGGTTGTCTTTATTAATAATAATTAATAATAGCTGAAATTTGTTGTTCATTTCCACTTGCAAGTCATTGTGCTAGTTATTTATATGTTATGCCATTTAATTCTGAGAATAATCCTAATAAGGTAGGTTGCAGTGGATTCTTTTTTTTTTTTTTGCCTGCCATTAGCATTTGCTCTCCACATTTCTGTTAACACACCTGATTTTTCCCATTGCCTATAGTTATAGTGGGCCTGTCAGTCCAGGTTCCCTAGCCTTCCCTGACCTACTGGTGGTGGGCATGAGTCCCACACTAGTTTGATCAGACCTTTGGAAGCTGAATCTTGACGCTTGAGGTACACGATGGAGAGGATGGAACTGATTCATCCTTATAATAATGTCCTAAAGAAACCAGCCATTGATTTCCACACCCAAATAGATAAGGCTGGCTGCTTCCTCAGCAAGTTTTGGGAAATAACTTTTTCCTTGAATTCTGAGAACTGTCTGACATCTTGAAAATTAATGTTCCTTTCTTGCTTAGGTGAGACACAGCCAGTTAGCACGATGAATCTTGAATTAAAACTTCTAAAACCTTGACTGAGCGTTCCAAGGAGAAAATAATAGTGCAAAACATGGGATTGGGTAATTTTAGATAAATTGGGGGAGAAACAGAGAGCAAGAAAAGTATTTGTAGGTAAAAAACAAAACAAAAAAACAACAGTAGCCTTTTCTGACAGCTACAAGAACAGCTTAAGAAGACAGTGTCAGAGACCCTGTTCTGTTTACTTAAACATTCAAACATTCTGAAATCTTGAGTTCAGGCAACCAGAAGCTTTTGTTTATAGACTGTTTCACGATGCTACGTTTATCAAGACTTTAGCCCAAGGAAAGAAAAAATATATGTAACAAATGTATTTGGTAACTACTTTCACCTCCATGGATCTAAAAAAAATTTTAAACATCTATATTAGCTAATTGAGTAATGACTGCTTTGAATATCTGATTCATGGGTTCTTTCTCTTATACGAATTAACTTGAAAAATTCTTCACATTGTTAATGATTTTTCACATCACTGGAGGTAAAGGCTAAATCTCTAAAGTGGCATGTTGATAATTTAAACACAAAAAGCTAACATAAGGTAGTTACTTTGTGCCAAGCATGATGATAAGTGCTTCATAGGCACTACATGGTGTAATACCATACCTCTGAAAAGTATGCGCTCTCGTCTCCAGTTTACTGCTTAGAAAACATTTTGAGACCAACTGGTCGAAGAAATCGGAGGCAGTGCTAAAATTTGAACCCAGCCTGCGCTTTGCACCACTTAAGCCAATGACCTTCTCCAAGTTATTTTTAAATTCTTGGCCCATTTCCGAGAACTGCGAATGTCATTTCAACTGAACTTCATGGTTACATGTGAAAACTTTTCCTTGCTTTTAAAATATTGTAATGAAACCAAGACGACTTCTGAAATAGTCTATAGGTCTAAAATACTTTTAAGAAAATCTTTGTCAAGCTCTAAGTTTTCCTTTCCTAACTGCCCTTGAAGGGCTGATATTCTCTATCCCTGCTAAAAGAAGGTTTCTCAGGGATCTGGTGACCAAGATACAAGAAAAGGGTTATGGTGGTGGTGAGGGGTTTCGGAGTCATTCATCTGTGGTTTCAAAATCTGGCTCTGCCTCTCTCATTTGTGGATGAACTTGAAGTTAGTCTCTCTGAGATTTGATGTCTTCAAAAGGAGGGTGCCGGTGACATCCACCTGAGGATTACTTGGTGAAAATGTGTAAAGTGCATTTGTAATCTCTTTGATCCCTAAACCCTCTCCCTCTCCCTTTACTTCTAATCTTTTCAGAGTTTCTCCTTGAAGAGCTCAAAGACCAAAGTGCCCCACAAAATGCTTCTGCTGCATGATTCCTCAAAGCTGCTGACCTTATACAAATCCTTGGCCAGAAGCATCCCTGAGTCCCTGAAGGTGAGAGGGCAGCAGGAGGTTGGGGAGGGGACGTGGGGTGTTAAGGACAGGAAGATACCAAGCTCATACTTCTGCTCCTCCTCCCGCCTTTCTGCAAGGGGGTTGGGGCTGCAAAAGAGGGTGAAGGGGGGATGGGAGCACATCTAGAGCTGCTGCTGCTTCTCGGGAGAAGGCAACTGGGCCCGTTCTGCAGGTTTTGCCATTCACTTGGAGAGGCAGTGGAGGGTGGTGGCAAAGGGCATAGGATTTGCAGCCAGACTGAATGGGCATGCATTCTAAACCTGTCACTTGGTAGTTGTATGCCTCTGGGCATGTGACTTTACCTTTCTGTGCCTTGGTCCCTTCATCTGTGAAAGAGGGATGATATTGTCACCTTCCTCTTCAAGTTACTGTCAGCACTAAATTGCATATGGTGTAAGTACTAAGAGCACAGCAAGTGCCCAATTAGTGCACGCTGGCTGTTTGTTATCATGAGGACACCTGTGAGTTCTTTCACCTGCTTGCTGGTGACTTCACTTCCATAGACATGGCCCTGGGGACAGGGCTCACATATCTCATCACTGACTTGGTCCTGGTACCCTCTCCTGGCCTCCGTTTATCTCTTCCTCATGGTATCCAGGTGCCCATCTCTGAGAATGCCAGAGCGACCTTCCCAATCTCTCCTAGTCCCTCTGCTCCTCCTTCAGGTGTATGGCTCTGTTTATCACATCAACCATGGAAACCCCTTCAACTTGGAGGTGCTGGTAGACTCCTGGCCTGAGTATCAGACAGTCATTGTCCGGCCTCAAAAGCAGGTAGGCACACAGACCTGTACAGGTGGACCCATCAGCTCCAAAGGGCCTGAGGAACCAACCCAGTTCAGACTCGCCGTGGCTGCTTGTATAAGGTAAAAGAGACGCTGGGATACCTTAAAGACATTCCTTCAGTACTTGCTACCTGAATGAACTCCATATCCCACCCTTCCCGTCAAAGCGGAGAAGACGAAGACGAAGAAGAAGAAGAAGAAGAAGAAGAAGGAGGAGGAGGAGGAGGAGGAGGAGGAGAGGACTGGCACTGGCAGGTCTGATGGAAATGAAGGGCGGATAGAGGTGGCAGGAGTCAGTGACAGGGGCTGAACGAAAGGCCAGTCTAGAGGGAAAGGTGGGAGTCCAGGACATCAGAACAGCCACTTGGAAACAGAAACCAGGCAGAAGCCCTCTAGTAAAAGCTGCCTCTCAGGAATCAGGAAGGGACTTGTAATGACGATGTGTAAACCAGGTGGAGACACTTCTGTCAGCTAACATCATCCTCAGAACAACCTTATCAAGTGAATATCTCCCATTGAGAGATGAGAAAACTATGCTGAGAGATAATTAGTCATGTGGCTGCAAGAGACCATAAGTTAAAGCCAAATTGTCTTTGGCTTTGGCTAATATGACCTGAATTCAAATTTGAATGACGGCCGATTTTACTAGTTATGTGACCACAGGGAGTTCTCTGCGCCTCAGTTTTATCATCTGTAAAGTGGGGATAATAAGAGTACCTTCCTTGAAAGGATTAAGAAGTATAAATTGTCAGTTATAAAAATAGTCATGAGGATGTAAAGTACACCATGAGGAATATAGTCAATAATATTGTAATAGCTATGTATTGTGTCAGATGGGTACTAAACTTAATCAGGGTGATTACCTGATAAGGTATATAAATGTCTAATCATTTTGTTGTACTGAAATTAATAATGTGTCAACTCTAATTGGAAAATAAATTAATTTAAATTAAAAAAGAGTACCTTCGTCATATAGACTGACAAAGCTTAAATGAGAGGCTGTATATCAAAAACTTAGGATACGGCACATGATTGTAAATATTACAGTTGTTAACGGCTGAGGTCATACAAAGAGTGATTAAACTGAGATGCAAACCTGGATCTATTTTTGCCCTAAAGCTTATGGACGTCCCGATCCCATGGACATCTAGTCAGGGCACTGATGCTTCAAGGCCAATATGCTTTATTGTGGGTATAGAAGCTGAGTCCAGAAATAATGAAGTAATCCAGGTTAGGCCGGTGGTACAGAAAGTAAGGAAGTGAACTCAGGTGAGGAAACCAGGGAACCAGCCTGGGTTAGACGTGCTCCACATCTTCCTTCTTGGCACTTTTCCTAAGGATGTGCATCCTATCCCCTGGCTTCCTGACAATCTGGGTGTGAGGACCAACACCCAGCTTATTAAATCCCATAGCCCAGTTTCTTCAAAGTGTGGTATGCTCAATGTGGTCAAAAGGTGGCATATGGTCAAAGATTTCTTTTTATTTCAATCAATTTCACATTTATGATGTGTACTGGAAAATGTAATTATATTCTCAAACCCACGATGTCACGTATTCATGGCTTTGAGCAAGGCTAGTTGTTTAAAAAGTGAGTTAATAAATAAAAACACTAAATATATTAAAGTGCCATGGTACATCTATATGACAAAAATTGGGAAGATGGTAAGATAATACAATTTATTTTGAATTATATTCACCTCGCTTAATTCTAGAGCATACCATGTTCCTTTCAGTATGAAAAATTGTTTTGTACACCTGAAACTAATAATAATAATAATAATAAAATAAATGAAAAAAAAGCAATCCAATTGTCATGAAATTATGACTGATTTTTTTTAACACCAAATTAGGTTTTATACATTTCTTAAATTTTCCTTCAAAGTATAGGGCACATAGAAAATCACTTGATCCCAAATTGTATTTTGAAGTTGAACTGTCTTCCTTTACTCACCTGACCAAATTCCACATTACTTTGTAGTGTTACAAAAATTCAAATTGACATGCAGAAACTTTACTCAGAGACTATCCAAATAAGTTCCCCACAAACATCAGGGATGTTATTTTTTAAAAAAGTCAAAATTCTATTAACAGCTGAAGTATTTAAGGATGAAATATGCATCGAAGGGTACACTAGGGGATACAACTGAAACAAGATTGGTCATAAATTGATCATCATTGAAGCTGGGTCATGGGTACATGGGGGTTAATTTTATATATGTATAAAACTTTTTCTACTTTTGTGTAACTAACATTTTCCATTAAAAATGTTCAAAACAAAATTTTATTTTATTTATTTTTTTTCTTTAAAGTTTATTGGGATGACAATGGTTAGTAAAGTTACATAGTACAATTCTGTAATACATCATCTGTATATCACATGGCGTGTTCACCACCCAGAGTCAGTTCTCCTTCCATCACTATGTAACCATAAAGCCTGTTAACTTCCTCAAAACTTTGGAGGAGTAGCCAGGAAGAGTAGAACTAACATTGGCCTAGCCGTGTACCTCACTTCATCACTTACTAGTTGACCTTGGAAAGGCACAATCTTTTTACTGAACTTCAGTTTTCCTGTTTGAAAAATAGGGGTTTCACCCTGCATTCGAGTCCAGTGGGATGATCATTTAAACTACAGGTTTTAAGGTCTTACCCAGGTGTAATGAATAAGAATCTTTGGGGGTGGGGATCTGGACAAAGTTTAAACTTTTTCTTTGTTACTTTTTAATCATCTAGAAGATACTACATGCTCATGATACAAGTGGAACAATCCAGTGTTGCTTTAAGACATTAATAACCTTTCATTTCCCCTTTTCTCCTCTTTTTCCACCCTTGAGATAATCAGTGTCCTTGTTCATACTAACAAATACAAGGTACATGTTATCTGCTCTTTCATAACTTTTTCTGAAAGATCTAACTGGCTTTATTAAGCAGCTCATGGATTGAGCAGCATCCCATCTAGCAACTAGAAAGGAACTCCCTTTCCTCATAGCTTTTTAATTTGCCTTTAATACAGCATAGACATCCCTTTGGGTCAATGAATATAGCACTACCTCCTTTCTAATAGCTGTGTAATATTCCATACAGTGAATGCACTGTAACTTAGTCAGCTATTCTATTGCTCTATTCAAATTACTCACAGTTTTCTTCCAATACAAACAGTGCTTCAATAAACATCCTTGTACACATAGGTTTATATCTTGGAATATATCTCAATAGGACTGAAGGTCTATTACCAAAGCAAAGGACACGTATGTTTCAAAGTCCAGTAGTCACTGCCAGATTACCTTCCCAAAAGATTGCCCCAATTTTATTTCTGTTAGCAGTAAATGAAAGAGCTGTTTCCCCACATGCTCACCAGCCCTGGGTGTTATCCCTCTCCTTAATTTATTCCAAACTCATGGATGAAAAATGGCATCTTATTATACATTTAATTTGCATTTCCCTGATTAATGAGATTGAACACATTTTCATATGTTTATCAGTTATTTGGGGTTTACGCCTAATCATCTGTTCATATCCTTTGACCACTTTTATACTGGGTTCTTGCATCATTATTAAAATTCTGCAAGAGTATTTTGAATAGTAGGGAATGAACACTTGAGTTGAATGCTAAAACTTCCCAATTTATAATTATTTTTATTTTATAGAGGGAGCTCTTGTACAATTTTTTTTCAATTACAGTTGACATACAATATTATGTTAGTTTCAAGTGTGCAACATAGTAATTAGACATTTATATAACTATGAAGTGGTCACCCTGTAAGTCTAGTATCATAAATGGAGATTCTGACAGGCAGAAATTTTGAATTTTCATGTAATCAAACATGTTCTCTTTTTCACTATGACGTCTGAGTTTTCTTTTTCTAGTTAAGAAGGTTTTCCTACTCCAGTTATACAAATATTTTCCTATTTTTTCTTATAATAAGTTAATTTTTACTTTTAACATTTCAACCTTCATTTCATCTAGAATATGTTTTTGAATAACATTAAGATTCTTTTATTCTTTGCACATGACTCTCAAACATAGTGAAGGGGATATGCAGCCCTCATGTAAAAATCACAATCGTTTTGCATTTCCTCTATTTGTGCAGTTTGCGGGTGCTTCCTTATTCACGAGTCCCCTCCCTAAACACCCCCAACTAGCCCTAGCTCATGCATTTCTTGTTTCTCTTGCTCCCTCTTTTTTCCTGCTATTCTACCATAATTTAATTTCCCTCTACTTTCTCAATGTTTTGTATCCCCCGGCCCCCGTGCCCCCATTTAAAAAAATACATAGTATGGTGATGAGAGAAAACCCCTGGATGGGAGTTGGCAGGGAGTCGGGGGGGGGGGGGGGCTAAGAAATAAAGGAGGTGAAGTTGAGCCTAGTCTAGTCTGCAGGTCAGTAAGGAAGAAAGACTAGGGGCACTCATATGAATATTACTGTTCTATAACAAAACATACATTTTTAAGGCCTTGAGAAATGTTCTCATTTGACTAAAGATTTGGGTATAGCATTGGGCAAACTTATCAGGGCAATCCTTCATAAATTGTGTAGATGTCTGGCACTGCCCTGTGCACCTCAAGCTGATGTAGAATAACATCAAATGTCAACTATAATTAAATATATATGTGGTCACGGGATGCAGAGTACAGCATAGGGAATAGAGTCAATGGTATAATAACAGCTATATACGATGTCAGAGGGGTAGTAGACTCGGGGGGGGTTATCACTTTGTGAGGGAGTATCAATGTCTAATCATTATGTTGTTTTATACACCTAAAACTAATAATTAAAAAAAATTTTTAAAGATTCTTTTATATCTTTCTTCCATATAGCTAGCTAATTATGCCAGTACTATTTATTAACTAAATAATTCCACTGAAACTTAAATATCTCATATGTCACAGAACACGTTTATATGTTTTTGTATCTATTTGTTTCTAGTCATTTCTTATGATATTTCTGTGGCTTTATGGTAAGTTTTAATATCTGATAAAGAAAATCTCCCTCCACTATTGACTTTTTAAATTTTCTCTTTTTTTCTTATGGATTTATGAGCTGTATGGGCTTAAACTAAGTTTTCTAGTTTCCAACAAACTACCTCAACTACCTATTGCAATTGTAACTGAAACTGGGTTAACTTTTTAAAACAATTGTGGAAGGATTAATATTTTCATAATACTAAATCTTTTCATCTAAAAACATGATATGTGTCTCAGTTTTCTCAGTTCCTGTTTTATACATTTGGTAAACTTTTAGTGTTTCTCTTGGGTAAGCCAAGTGACTTTCCATTAAACTTATCTTTGGGTATTTTGTGCTATTTGTCACTATCATTGTTGGAATGATTTTTCCTTTTCCATTTCTGAGTGTTATTACTTTGCTATTGATTTTTATTTGTGTTTTAAATTTCCAAACATGCCACAAGATTCTTTAAGATCCCACTGCTTTATGTGGTTTTTGTCAAAGTCTCTTGGCTTTTGTAAATACCTAATACTGTAATAGCCAAACATAATTTGTTTCTTCTTTTTTCATATTTGTATTGGTTTTTTGGTCTCTTGCTTTATTGTATGCAGCAGCACCTAAGAAAATACTAATACCAACTAACAACAGTAATATATCCATTCTCATTCTTGATTTTAATGAGATGGCTTTAACAATTCATATTTGGAATTACATTTGATCTGTCTTTACATATTCAAAATATTTTCCTATTATTCCCATTTATTTCATACTTGTTAATTTTTTTTGGCAATTGATATATTCATGTAGTTTTTCACCTTTAGCTACTACACTGAAAGATCTTATGATTCTAAGTCATTCTTGCATTTCTAAAACTACTTGCTCACATCTTCTACTCTTTTGATTTACTACTGGGTATTTTATTCAGAATTTTTGTATCTGTATTCATAAGTGAAAATGTTCAATAAATATCTTTTATGCCTTTCTTTAGCATCTTTTGAATTGGACACTTTCCCATGTTGCTGTGGCCTTATATTGAAATTAGGTGTTAATTTTTGGTTTATGTAGAATTTAAATGTAAATAATCTGATTTGGACAATTTTTAAATGCCAGATTTTTCATTTTCTTTTTAGTCATTTCTATTAGTCTTTGAGGTTTCCTGTTTCTTTGGAGGTCAGTTTTAAAAGTTTATTCGAGAGAAATCATTCATTTCTTTTAACAGTAAATATATTGCTTTGAAGTAGCATATGACCTTCTCTTATAACTCCCTTGTCCCTTATCATCTTCTTTCTCATCTCTAGTACTGTATGCTTTTTGCTTTCCTTTCTCTTATTTTTCCTTAAAAGTCTTACCAGGAGTTTATCCCTTTTGGGGCCATTTAAAAATGAGCTTATGGCTTTGTATAGCCTTTGTACTAAATCATATTCTCCATTTCGTTATTTTAAGCTTTAATTTTTATTAACTGTTCTCTTTGTTTTAGTTTGGTTCATTTTGATATTTTTATAATTCCTTGGATATTTACATTTTCTATTTCCAGTCATTCTTTTAAAATCAGGCCTCTTAAAATATCTATTGTCCTGAACACATTAAGGTTTTGTTTGGGACCACATTCAGGAACCTGCATTTATACAAGCACCCTCAAATTCTTGAAAGATTCTTTTAAATTAGTTACACTATTGTATGCTTCATTCTTTAACAATATAATTTCCAACCTAATACGCTCACTGCCGAACTTCTAATACTTACAGTACCTTGCCCATGCCTCTGACACTGAGATTCTCGATAAATGAAAGCTAAAGAAAAAGTTCAAGGGAACGATCTGACCTTTCACCGTTCCATACAGGAGATGATTGATGACAAGAATCTCTACATAAACAGATACTGTATATTCTCCAAAGAGCCTCAAAAATTACAGGATGTCCTTAAACATTGTGGGGTCATCAACTGGAAACAAATGTTCCAAATCGAAGGTAACATGTCAGAGGTAATGGGCGACAGCAGCGGTTCTCAAAGTGGGCCCCCAACCAACAGCATCCCCTGGCAACTTGTTAGAAATGCAAATGCTCAGGTTTACTGAATCAGAAACCCTGGGGACTGGGAGGGGACAGCAACCTGTGGTATAACAAATGCCCCACAAAAGCAAAGAACTCTGAATCACTGCCACTGTTGCTTTCTTACCTTTCTTCCCAGGTTTCCAAGAAAGTCTGGGTGAGGGAATAAAAACAGTTGCCTTTCCCAAATCTGTGAGAGTGGAGTATCTAAACTTGATCCTCTACGTAACGGCAGATATTATGAAACTCAAGGCCGCCAATGAGAGCAAGCCTGGAAGCTGGCTTGAGGCAGACCACCCAGACCATGCGCTGAAGAGGTACAAAACACATTTGCTCACCGATCCTGTGGATTTTCTTTAATATTGTCAGCTCTTAGACGTTTTTCTAACTTCCATCAATCAGTTTTGGAGTGAGGAGAGGACTAATGTGTTCACTGGGATAAATAAAGGTGGTCAATTGTCAAAGCCAACAACCTTGCATAAGTGAGGATTTAATCAAGGAGATGAGTGCTTGAGAGCTCTAGACTGGGGTGGTATCCCGAAATTACAGGAGCGGGGATGAAAGTTTTGTTCGTCTCATGTTGTTTCCACAGTGAGGATCTGAACTTGAAGTTTTCCCGGCTGAACGTGTCTCATTGTGGGCTGGTGAATGACTGCTGGAGTCTAGGGCAGAATGAGAGGAGCCTGCGTTACATCCAGCGCTGCATCCAGACCCTGCCATCTTACTGTGTGCTGGGCCCGGAGGGGACCCCAGTCACATGGAGCGCCATGGACCCCACTAGTGAAATAGTGATGGGCTACACCCTGGAGAGGTACCGAAACAAGGGCATCATGAGACAGATGATGATGCGTTACATGACATACCTGCGTCAAGAAAATATTCCCTTCTACCTCTCGGTGCTGGCCGACAATGAAAACTCCCACAGAGTAGTGAAGCGGTCTGGTTTCTCTGTGGCCTCATGTGCATGGCACCAATGGACCTGCTACCCACAGGAATGAGTCCCCTGTGACCTGTGAAGCTGCTTAGCCATCTTGGGAAAGTCCTCTCAGTATTGAAGCGGAAGTCACAAAATAGCTTTCTTTCATTCACAAATGTTTCTTAGGCGTTTATGATGTGCCAGGAACTCCTGAACATGCAGATATGATTTTAAAAGATGCTGCCACAATCCTGAGGATTTTACAATCTGGCGGGGGGGTTAGGGGTGGTGGTGGCGGCAATTCAGTCTTTCAAGATGTATGATAAGGGCTGTGGGGAAGGCAGGCGTTACCGGTAAGCTCTTCCTTCTGGGAGTCAGAACTCTTTATGAAGCTGGATTGATAGAATCTATTATCTGGAAGACAAGCGAGGAACTTGAATAAAATTGTCAATAGAACATACTTAGTCTATATGTGTGGTTTATTGTAAATACACCTGCTATTTGTGGGTTTAGGAGGCACAAATACACTGAAGAATGGAAGTCAGTCTCATAGTTTGTGACCAGCAAGGTATAAAAGGTGAAATCCCAAACAAATGGCTCACCCACTCACACAGTCAGCTTCCGACACTGCCATGCAGAAAATAGATCTGGAAAAGTGATCTTGATGGACCCAGGGCCTCTGTCACAGAGGTGGTGTTTGCTGCAGTGCCCTTTTTATACCCTTTGCTAACCATGCAGGAAGCGTGGTCCTGGGTAAGATGTTTCCTGTGAGTCTGGTTGTTTGTTCAGCCCTTTGTGTGTGCCCCAGCTGTCTCAGGGGTAAGATCTGGTATCAGGAGGGTTCCTAGAAGAAGTGACAACTCAGGTGAGGGTTTAAGAGTCAGTAAGAATGTACCAGACCCAAAAAATGTGGTGGGAAATTCCAGATGAAAGAGAGAACACGTGGCAGGAACGATTATAAGCAGTTTATAATCGAAAACTTATATTACCAATTCAGAATCCCTGATCTAAAAAAAAAAAATACATCAGAAAGAGTACAGACATAGCAATGGCCCCTTTTGGCCCTTCCCTGAAACCCTGCCTCTGGAACTTAGGCTGTTGTGGTCATTGCAGCTGTTGCATAAAACAAAAATATCTTAATAAAATTGGCTTTGGGTGATTAACCAATGCTTGCTCCTATCTCTTCATAAAAAAGTAAACCTCCACAGAATTTAATGTTTATATTTGACATGATTTTAAAAGATGCAATTCCAGAAATTAAAGAATTGTGTAAGTTAGTGAGCTTTTTTAAAAAACTCCAGTTCATCTAAGAAGACTGTGGTGGTGGGTTGTCACTCACACCTTAGTAAAAATCAGTCCAATCAGATTGTTAAACTCCTAAGATCTAGCTGATGTTATACGGACCAAATGAAAGCATGGTCTGAAAAAGAAAGGAAAGATGTCATTTTGAATTTTGAAGCGTAGAGAAGTCTTAGATAAAAAATAAAATCTGGAGCTTGGGTTTATATGCAAATAGTTATATCCTGGCACTCAAAATGCAGGAGCAAATACAGAAGTGATAAAAGAGGAAGCAAATAAAATTTGCCTATTTAAAAATGGTGCCTCAGGCAGGTCCGATATTCAGAAGAGACATGCATCCAGGGTTTGGGGCTCAGGCTACCTTAGCACAAATTACCTGGCAGCTTCCCTTACCTGACTCTACATGGTTCCATTATGACAGTGATTCTCAAACTTGATCATGTACCTGGATTAAAGAAACAACAAGAAAGCATGGAAAATAGGAAGAAGGTCTTTTAAATGTCACAAAAATAAGTACCCAAATATTATAATCACAATAAAAGTGAATGGATTCATTTTCCTATTAAAATACCAGTCTCTCGTACACTGAGTTAAAAACAAAACCCAAGAAGCATGTATAAGTTTGCTAGGGCTGCCATAACAAAATACCATAGACTGGGTGGTTTAAACAGCAGAACTTTATTTCTCACAGTTCTGGAGGTGGTGAAGTCCAAGATCAAGATGCCAGCAGGGCAGGTTTCTTTCTGAGACCTCTTCTCTTGGCTTGTAGGTGGCCACCATCTCTCTATGTCCTCACATGGTGGACAGAGCAAGAGCTCTGATCTCTCTTCCCTTGCATAAAAGGACACCAATGACATCATGGAGACCCCATCTAAACCTAATCACCTCCCACAGGGCCCACCTCCAAACACCACCACATCGGGCAGTAGAGCTTCAACATGAAAATTTGGGAGGGACACAAGCCCTCAAGTCCACAATAAGGCTCATCTGAAACAAACAACATGGGAGGATTAAAAAGATGGGAAAAGATGCACTAGACAAATGTGAAAACGGCAAAGAAGGGAATAACATCAATATGTGACAAAACAGACTTTAAGGTGAACATCTGATAAATACAGAAGCCTCCCACAAGGCAGTGTGCCTGCTCAGGAACTTCATTTTTTCAGCATACATTCTGCTTTAATGCAAGCCAGCTTTGTTCAGCCTGGTAGAACTACCACTCACTTGCATTCTTTCCCCAGATCCTCCTACCGGTGCATATACTGTATGTCCACTCCTTCTAATCATTAAGCCATGAGGACATTAGGATCTCATCCGTGTCAGACTCACTGAAGAGTAAAGCTTCAGGTCTATCAGCCATGACCATGACACAATCACCAAACCTCAAACTAGAATAAAGTTTTAGTCAAAGATAACACCTTCGCCTCAGTTATGTTTCAGCTCCAGACTCATGAAAGCAGAGCGGCCCCATGAACCGCAACCCCTGGCAACCGGACGGAACAATGCCATGACTGACACCAGGACCTGAAGCCATGATCAATTAGAGCCCATGACCCCAACTCCCATAGTAACCATGACTAGTGATTTTTCCCTTATATAACCTAGCTACTAGAGGCCATCGGGGAGCCAGGCCTTTGAGCCCTAGCTCACCCGTGTCTCCAGGCTTGGCGCCAACTCCTTAAATAAACCTTTACTTTCTTTGCTGCAAATTCCTGCTCGTGTGTGTCCTTTTTGGCCTGGACGCACACAAGCAGGCAGACCTTTGAGTCCATGGTAACAGTAGGTCATGAATCTTCCTAACACAAAGCACCCACAAAACATATAGACATACAAAGAGAGATCAGTAAATCCAATCATAATGGGAGAATTCAGGATACTTTCCTCACAAAGCAACAGGTCAAGTAGATTAAAAAAAAAACAAAACCATTTAGACTTACACAATGCCATTGTAACTTGATATTTTGATGGTTTTTGGTTATCTACTTATTTTGTGTTTGAGAACGCCTGTTGATCTGTATGTCTGTCTCTCACAGCTGACCTACAGGGGCTGTGGGGGAGGGGAGGGATGTGCTGCCGCAAGTGGGCACTTGTTTCTAGGTCTAGAGGCTCCCGGTCCCTATCTGTGGTCATTGGCTATCTACTGGGCAGGCTCTGCATTCTAGCCCCAGGGCTGACACTCGCCACTTTAACCTGTGGATGAATGCCACAGCTGCCACGTGGCTTAGGACAACTGCGGTTATGAGGATGGAAGAAAGAGGGCTGACTAGGTGGGCCGTAGTGAGAGCATCTCCTAGGACACCGCCCACCCACTTCTTACTTCTGTCATCCCCAAACGTGAAGGATTTTTTTGGTTCCTATCTCCACAGCAGTCTGTTCCCTCAAGTGTTGCCTCCAGGGTTATCCTTCTGCTCACAATTGCTGATCCAATGACAGTAGTTTGTTTGTTTGTTTTCGCTTGACTGTTGCAAATTTATTTTGTTCTTGTTCCTTTTTATTTTTTTCTATTACTTCATATCATTATTGTTGTGAAGAAGTCAGGTATGTTTGGGTCGCCACCTTGACCCCACCACCCCGCATGTTGTATCAGCCCCCTCAGATTTGCCTCAAACAGTTACCTGTGCAGTCAGATGACCTTGGGCCAATCCTGCTTTACCACGGACACTAACTCCCCTGAAATTTACCCAAGTCTCAGGCTTTACATATGAATCTCCCCTTGACACAGAAAACAGTCTTTTCTTTTTCCCCTGACTGAAGGCCTCAGTTATGGACCCAGGCAGATCCCAATGGACCGTCTCCAAAGGTAAACTTGCTGTGCCTTTTTAGGGCACAGGGAAGAAAGAGGCGGTCAAGAGGAACCATTTCCTCTTTCCTGACTCTGAATGATTCCTATTGCCACACGGAAAATTTAGGGACGGTTGAATGGAAGTTCTTGGCAGCCGAGAACTTGCCTTGTCACCATGGGAAGAGTGGCCTGTGTGCCCAGGAGTGATAATAAAAATGTTTAAAAACCAGTGAAGGTGCCAACCTTTCAGAGCACTTTGTCTTCCCAGGGGAGATCGTGGCACCTCTTTATCAGCCTTTAGTCTGCCCACCGGCCCCCATCCCAACACACACACACACACACACACACACACACACACACACACACACACACACACAGTGCTATCTTCTTTGGCCCCTGATCTCACCTAAACTTAGCCCAAATTTTTATCTCCCTGTGTCCCAAACTCATGTGTTGTAGGGCTTTTGTGAATCCCTTTCTGAGCATGCTCAGTGACCTCCTAAAAATTATTCATGAGAAAGGGTAACACTTTTATTTTAGGCTAGATCAGCCAATCTTGTTATGTATGAACACCAAACTGCTTAGTGGTGAAAATATATTGAGAAGAAGTTATACTTGGATAGTATGGTATGTGCCCTTGTATGGGCACCAACACCTGAGGTCCCGATGAATGAGTGATGTTCATTCAGCGACTATACAGGGTGACTATGCATCACGCTCGTATAGTCAGAGATCGTCTCTGCAAAGGTAGAGTGTCTAGAGAATGTGGTGAAAATTAATTGATTTTCTGTGTGTATGCTTTTTTTTTCCTTTGGAAAAGTAGGCCGTGTGTCTGTTCAAACGATAATGTGTTTTTTACAAGGGGGTAGTGCCTCAACTAAGGAATCTTATGAATTCGTTTATCTAGCATATTCCCTTATTAACTTTTTATTCAGTCAGTAGTGTTTTTCTCAGTCCTCATAGCTGAACTCAAATTTCTCTACTATTATATGAAATAAAGTACCAGTATTCTCCCTCTGCTTCCCCTCTGCACCCCAATAAGACTACATCTTCTCAGAAGATTCATCCCCCTGCTTTCTCCCTCCTCATATCCAGAAGCGTGAGTGTGATGAGTGAGACAAAATGCCTCTAGTTCTTTAACCTGGCCCCTCTGAGCCCAAACTCGGGATATTTCAATTCCAATATCATAGAATTCCCCTTGCAGCGAGTCACTTCTATTTAAAGAATCCTTCTTTTAATCTTTAATTACACATTCTCAAAGAGTCTATCATGGTCCATTTAGATTTAACTATGTACATAACTTGCCAGATTTTTTCCCTCTCATTTTCAACTGATCCTTCAGCTCCCATTCATTTGACGTTTGGTTAGCATTCTC